CTTTGGAGGGAGATTTGCCTTGTGCTGGGGACGTGTGCTGTGTGGGTTGTGTTGGCAGGGAGAGCTGACTGACTTAAGGATTGTCGCCATCTCTCCCCAACCTGCTAAGGCAGCTGTTCTGTGGGCCTGAATGTGCACTAGGTAGGCACGTGCTGGAAATTTGAAATAACCTGTTATCTTGAATATCTACAGTTAATCTATATTTATAGTTAATCATTTGAACCTTTGTTTACCTGCAGGTTTGGCCTGAAGTAACAGATCCTGAAAAGTTTGTGTATGAGGATGTTGCTATAGCTACTTATCTACTGGTAGGTGGTGTTTAAAACTAATTAAAAGTTTACTCTGAAAGCATATATTATTCCAAAATAATAACTTTCCTAAAATTCAGCTATAAAGAATAGATTTTTCTGAATGTGAATGTTTGACACTTTGAATTGGATATACAAGATACATTTTCAGCACAATTCTGTTAATAATTTCAGTTAGGAGATTATGTATTTGTGTACTAGGAGTGGCCTCTGTGTCTGCAGATACTTGTATATCTCTAAAGCCCCCCCCCCTCGAGTGGCAGGGTAGAACTCAGGAAAGCTGCTCAGGAGGGGGGGGCAAAGCCTCAACCCCAGTTCTCAGCCCCTCCCTCCACAGAGGTACCCCTGGGAGAGGGAAGCTGGGCTGGTACCCCAGGAGCCAGCCCTGATGTGGAATCTCCCGGGTCTCTGTGAATCCAGCTCGCCCTTTGATCATTTCCCATTACTCGTTCCGTGCTGGTGGTTATTTGGGGTTTCTGAATGGCGATCCTGTCTTGCTAGATCCTTTGGGAAGACGAGAGAGCTCGGAGGGGCCTGGCCGAGAGGCAGTCTTTTGTGGACCTCGGCTGTGGAAATGGACTCCTAGTTCATATTTTAAGTAACGAGGGGGTAAGTCGGTTGTACAGGATTGATCAAACCCCTTTTGGGATGCCAGGTTTTATCCTTGGCAATTTAGTTTCTTCCTTGGTATGTTGTTGTGGTTCTGTATTATTGTTTCCTTTTATTATACTGCGGTTACATTTTACCCTTTTTAGTGTAGAAGGCTGTTCAGTACTGTTGGAGTGAGTTGAGTGGCCATATACATTTTCTAAATAAATAAACAAGCCCCAATAAGTAAGTAAGCATTTACTGCTTACTCAGCATGCCTCGATTCAGCATTGGGTCTCCCAAGTAGAAACTTTTTTTTATTATGAAGGGATAAAGTAAGAATCTTAACTACAGATACATAAATTACAACACTCCAACCACATTGTAGCCACCGCAGCTTCTTAACTGATTGACCTGCAAGCGTAACATTTTGAAACTCCAGGCCCAAACATTCTGGTTTTCATTCTCCTCTTTTCCTTTGAACTGAGCGCCTGGGGACTAACTTGTTGTGTTCGATTTGGGGCCCCGTCTGTCCGTCTGGGGAGCCGACGATCCCCAGGCCGCCTCCTGTTCCCCGAAGGGCTTGTTTGTTTTTAAACAGTTGTCAGAAGAAAAGAGAGGAATGTTTGCTTGTTATGATCAAGGCCGCTTCGCTAACGACGCTTCCTGTGTGAATTCTTCCAGCATTCGGGAAAAGGAATCGATGTCAGGAGAAGGAAAATATGGGACACGTACGGCCCACAGACCCACCTGGAGGTAGGGCGGAGATGTGGGTTCCTTTCACCCAGGGCTTCTGCTCCGATGGGCTCCTCTGCCGCCACGCTCTGCAAAATGACCTTAAGCTGAAGTACAGGTAGTCCTCGACTGAACGACGGTTCGGTTAGTGACTGTTCGGAGTTACAACGGCAGTGAAAAAAGTGACGTATGAACATTTTTCACGCTTACGACCACTGCAGCTTCCCCGTGGCCACGTGATCCAAATTCAGATGTTTGGGCAACTGGGTCGTGTTTACGACGGTCGCAGCGTCCTCTGGGTTCACGTGGTCCCCTTTTGTGACCTCCTGAGAAGCAGAGTCAACGGGGAAGCCGGTTCACGTAGCAGCCGTGTTACTAGCCTAACAACGGGTGATCCACTCAGCCACAAAAAGTTTGGGCTCAATTGAGGTCATAAGTTGAGGACTACCTGTACTGATAGATTTCAGTGGAAAAATACTGGCAACCCTTTCCATATTTTATTAAGTTGTTTTCTTCCTCTTTATTTTAGGAAAGTGCCATTAACCCAAACAACCTTTATCCAGATGTTGACTGGCTAATTGGGAACCACTCTGACGAGCTGACGCCCTGGATACCCGTAATGGCAGCCAGGTACCAGCCGGGGGGCCTCTGAAAGCGGAGCGATCCGGGCCCTTCCGCAGCCGTTCTGCTTGGGAACGGCCGCCTTGCCCCAAGCAGTTCGAAGCGGGACACGTATAAACACCACTGGCGTTAAAAACGGATGTCTTTAAGTTACGCCAAGGAACGTGTTTTGTATCTGAAGGAATGTCTGTAGTGAAAGTGATACTAAGAATCTCGGGAAATACTGAAAGAGGAAGTGAGTTATGAATAAAAGAAGGAGCTTAAGAAAGTTTTGATTTGGTGGAATAGAAATTGGAGGCCAGTCAGCATCTGAGCTCCTGCAGAGAGTGGGTAGGAAACAGACTGGCCAAAATTCTACATTAGTTGTGACCAACCTCCAGAAAGTGGAAATGGGTGAAGGCTGCATGAATACTAAACTACTTCTAAAGCAAAGTTTCCCAAATTTTCTCAGTTCGTAGCATTCTTAAGTGCCTCCGATTTTTTCACAGGGTCCGTAGCGGTTCCCAAAGGGTGCATAGCAACCAGCGCAGTAGCAGTGCCGCTTATTAAGTCAGAGGTCCCCAACCTTTCTGGCTTTGTGCACCAGCAGGGGAGGGGTAAGGGGATGGGTCCGCGTGAATGGCAGGCAAGCACGTGTGCCGGCGCAGTTCCGTTTGCACGAGTGGCGGGCATGCACGCTTGCCACTCGTGCAAATGGAGCTGCGCGCGCACACCCACCCGTAAAGTACCCAGAGGATGTGGCTCACAGTATTTAGCGGTCGTAGTGAGCGTTTGGAAGCCTTAGCTAGGCTTATCCAACTGCAGACGTCCATTTTGAGCAGACAAGTTAATCCGGTATTTAGAAAGCTGTGGGACATTGTTCACCCCGTAAAGTAGGAGGTAATTGGCTCCTTCTCCCAGAGTCTCCCTCCCTCCCTCGGCTTCTGATAGCTCGATGGGCACACGTCATCCTGAGTCCCGGGAGGCTTTTGGGAGGCCGTGGTTTGGAGGCTTTGTGAGCAGCGCCTGACTCGGCCTTGTGCCCCTGCTTGCAGGTCGTCGTATTCTTGTCGCTATTTTCTGCTGCCCTGCTGCTTTTTTGACTTCTATGGGAAATACAACCGGAGGCGGAGTCAGAAGAGCCAGTACAGGGAATATCTTGATTTCGTGACGGAAGTCGGGGCCGTATGCGGCTTTAAAGTAGAGGAAGATTGCCTCAGAATTCCTTCCACAAAAAGGGTAACTTCTGGTTTCGTGGCTCTTTCTAGATTTTAGCAACCTTATGGTTATTGAGCCTCGGCTGCGTGAGGGGAGCCGTTGGCGGCCCTGATAGGCCTTGCACGTAGATCCCAGAAGATCCCCTTATTAGGCTCTTAACCACAGGAATCCTCTTTGTTTTAGGTCTGTCTGATCGGGGCCTCCAGAACCTGCCCGGCGGCAGAAGCCCCTGCGCTCGCGGAGGAGAGAAGGGGCTACATCAGGAGGCGCCAGCCCCGCCACCTGAGCCGGGCATCGGACCAAGGCTTTCCCTCGCACCCCCGGGAGGAGGGTCTCTTGGCCGCAGCGGAGGCCACCGGTCAGCGGCTGTGCGAAGAGGCCCCCCGGGAGAGAGAGGGCAGGACCGCCTTACCCTCTGGGTTTCTGCCTCGGGGCAAGGAGCAGGTCAGGAACTGCACCACCCTCCCGCGTGCCTTCGTGGACCGGGTGGCCTTGCAGGTAGCCCACCTGCTGCTGAGGGAGACGGAAGGGAGCCTCGGCGGACCCTCCAGCCCCTGGAACGGAGGAGGTGAGCCCCGGCTCTGAGATCGGCACCTGAAGGGTTAGGCTCCGGAGGGCGATTTGAACGAGCAGGTCAAATTCACCACACTCTTAATTAGCGACAGACATCCAGAGTTTTTCAGCAATTCTTCAGTGGCGGAAGAGTTTATATAGAACAGTGGTGGCGAACCTATGGCACGCGTGCCAGAGGCGGCACTCAGAGCCCTCTCTGTGGGCACTCGTGCCATGCCCCGGAGATGGTGAGCAACTGGCCCCCACCACCCTGGCCCCGCCCACCCAGTCTGCCATGACCACCGCGCGGCCACGCCCGCCCGGCACTTGGTGATAAATAAGTGGGTTTTGGGTTGCAGTTTGGGCACTGGGTCTCTAAAAGGTTCGCCATCACTGATATAGAACTTCTTACAAGTAACAAAAGAAATCTGTGTCGATGCTTGACATCATAAAAAGATTAAGGGTAATATCAGTCTGGAGGCTCACAAAGCACAGCGTGGGATATAATCTTGAAAAGGGGGAAAAAGTGACCTTTTTGGTACAGCCTTTTTTTAAAAAAAAAATAAAAACCTTTGGGGAAAGGAAGGGGGGTATAATAGGGAGGGAGGGAGGGGTGAACAATCCAGAGGACGTGAATTTCCAGAAGCCCCCAGAGAATTAACAAGTTTTTTTTACAAACCTTGTTTTCTGCAGAGAGTCTTCCCTTGAGTGAAATTGCGGGACATTTAGACAAGGACACATTGAAAACTCTGAAGAAGGAATATGGAGGCCTACAGACCTTGCTCAGAAATAATTATCAGGTATTTAAAGGTAAGAAGTTAGTTCCGTCACTGTCCCTTTCTGGGCTGAGTTTTGGAGGCTTTCAGTGTGAGCCGTAGATTAGAGCCTCTCTTCTTCCTTTGGGCATCTACTTGGGGTGTGATTATCCTGGGAAGATCTCTAGATGTTTCCTCCAGGTCAAGGGCGGTGGGTGTCTAGAAGGAAGGCCCCTCCTCCGTTGTGGGATTTGCTCCCCAGGTGATCTCCCCCTGGCACCCCCATGGAAGCTTCTTTGTTGCGTCGGGTTAAGATTTCTTACTTGGCCAGTCAACCCGTCATTTTTACAGATAGTTTCTGGTGTCAAGTGTCTGCCTTGGGATTTATAACGTTATTTTAATGCAATTTATTGGTTGTATCGTTTACTCTCTTGTTTTTGTTTTTAATGTTGTAAGTAATATCTTCTCAAAGAATGTTTGTTATTAGCAACAGTAATCACCACACCATAAGTTTCGAAATTCAGAGAAAATTTTATCTGCAACTTTATTATTTTTAATATCAGCAAACTAGTTCTGTGTATCACTAGTTCTCAAATTTTAGGATCTCCTAAAATGATAAATGAATTATGTAAGTCCCTATAATCTCATTGATGTGTTGGTTGGGCAATAGGTCTCTAAATACTACTTTTAAGTTTTAATCTGTACATCACTTGGATTCTCAAGCTGCCAAAATAAGGGGGAATTCCTGGACAGGCTGTTTTGATCTACTAACATTGATGGATGGGATGAGAGCAAAAGTTTCCTCCCTTCCAGCTGTCAGCTGCATGGATATTAACAAACCTTTATTTATTGTAAGATTTATACTCCACCATTTGTTTCTAAAAGCCCCCAAGGGATCTTGTGATAGTTCAGGTACAAAATGTAAAATATGACTGCTAAGTCACTGCAATTAAATTAATGTTAATATCAACACAAGAGGAACGTGAAAAGAGACACATTTTTGCCCTTTCTCTCATTGCTGGGAAGGTAGGGCTCTTTGAGGGACCAGGGGTGGGAGAAGGGGGGGAGATGGATGAACTTGCTCTGAGATGGATGAACTTGCTCTGCAGGTAGTCCTTGACCTGCATCCGAATTAAGTCGTTGAGTGAAGCATTTGTTCAGCATGGTTCCCACACACGACTGCCTTCGTTCAACTCACGCAATCCCGGCCCTCCCAGTCTTGCAATTGTTATTCCCCAAAGCTGACAAACACTCCAGCACTTGAGTTAGGTTTCAGATCCATGGGAAAATTGGATTTCTGTGGGAGAAAGGATCCTGCGCATGCCTACTTCAGTAAGATTGGGGGAGGGGCACGTGTGGTTTATCTTTTGGCCTGTCTAATTGGCCTGTCTTTACGATTCCTCCCCTCAGTCCAACATGGGAAAGTTCGCATCCGCGACTGGAGAGAAGAGGAGAGGCCCAGGAAGCAGACGAGAGCCCGTCTCCCTTCTGAAGCTACAAAAACTCGGCTGTGCTGGTTTGACCAGCATCACCCTCAAGGCTGCCCTCTGCCCTCGGCCTCCTGTTCTTATGCCCATGGAGCCACCGAGCTGAACCAAAGACGAATCACGCCGGGCAATAAAGAGCTGCTACTTCAACTTTGCTAAATAAAAAGTCACAAGCAGTTTCATGTGAGCATGGCAGCTTCTATGTTTTATTCTGTTCCTAGGACAAAAGGAACAGCACAACAAACATCTTGGCCAGTATTTGGGGTTGCTTATTTGAGTTATCTTCTTAATAATGGATATTCATTGTGCATTAAAGTGTATAGTGTATAGATTCCCCCTTTTACTAAAAAGTTCATTTCTCAGAACATCTTTGGACCGAGTCAGTCCGTGGAGCTAAATTGTGAGTCCTGGAGGGCATTCTTTTGTTGCAGATGTTTCACGACCCAAACTAGATGGGTGCACCGATGATGTCACCTAGTTTGCATCATGAAACGTCTGCAGGAAAACCACCAAGCTCAGAGAGCACCAAGGAGCCTCATGGTAGACTGTGTCTGGACTGTGACTTTTCTGATCAGTTTGGGCCATATAGTAAGTTGGTTAGTTAGTTTATTGCTATAACCACAGGTCCTAACACACAATGTATCACAGAATACAGTAAAATAACAGTAGAACAGTAAGATTATGAAATAAAGTAACGCAAAGAATGTGAGGTGTAAGAAGTTAAAATGAGATAAAGCCAGAGCTACAACTGAGAATTGAAAGTAAGATCTAACCAGAAGATTCCCAGATCATCCTTGGAAGAGGGACCCCTGGGAGGAGAGGGGAGCCATATTTGTCTATCGAAAGCCAAAAATTGGGAGGAGCCTGATAGCATTTTTTCCAACTAACAAATTTTATTAAAGGGAGCCACCTCAACTCAGCCAAACTTGTTATATTGAAAAAGATGCTGCCTGGCTAAATTTGACCTGGGGAAGGGAAAAGGGGCTCAGCCGAAAAGAGGATTGGGGTATTTATCCCAGAAGGCTGAAGCCTTTAGAATCTAAAAATAAACAGACACATAACTAAGTTAAGGGATTAGTGTGACTGGATGAATGCCAGTTCCTCAGACAGGGAGACCAGTTAAGCGCAGCACCAATAAAGGAGAATATTTGTGGCTCAGGGTTGACACGAGGGGTCAGTCTTGGTGCCCTCTGAGCTGGGTGGGCTCCTTGCAGACCTTTCGTGAAGCCAACCGAGGACAGCCTCCCAAGAGACCACCGACCCCGACGGGGCGGGCTGCAGGGGTATCAAACGGACCCCCACCCCACGCCCCGGAATTTATGGTGTCGCCCAGTTTAGGTAACGAGAGGAAGATGGCCGCCTTGCTTCCCCCCAGCCGTCCCCCAGGTGGGCCCCGGGGCAGAAGGAGGCGACGGGGTGGGGGTGGGGGTCGGGCCGGACCCACAGTAGCGGCCAAGCCGCCCAAGACCGGGAAGAAGCGCCTCAGAGGCGCCATCTTGCCCCGGCATCGGAACCGGAAACCAGCTTCCCTCTGCTTCCGGTTCCTGCGCGCCTCCAGAAAGACGGCACCCGAAGCCGCCGAATCTCCGTGCTGCCTCCCAGAGCGTCCGCTCCTGACCCCTGGTGGCGGCCGCCGGGAACTAGCAAGGCTGAGCGTGGCTCCGCTGGATCCTGGATGTCTGGTTTGTAGCTTGGGTTGCTCTTCATGGAAATGGTCGCTCCAGCCATGCTCTTATATTGCTTGCTGAAGCCACGTTACCTGTAATAACGTATGTAAGTGTGTGTGTGTAAAGGGACATTTGGATTGGCAAAGGCTGTGACCTGCATGTATTTGCATAGTGAACTCGTCTACTTGAATATGGAGCCCAGCCACAGGACGTTTCATTGATCCCCAGAGCCACGGTTCTGTGGGTCCCTTCCAACTTTATCATTATTATTATTATTATTATTATTATTATTATTATTACTTGCTCTTCGTACATTTACTGAATTTCAATCTCAACTACTGTTGGTGTAGAATCCTCACAAAGTAGGTAAATAGGCTTCTTTTATGCCTAGCATTGTAGACATAAAATTTATTTTTTCAGTTAAAAGAGAGGGTTGTTAAATTGTTCATGGGCATGTTAAAAAAAGAAAAAAAGCTGTAAATGAAACTATTCACACACACAAAGCTTTAAAGAATTCTATGCCAGGTTCACGATCATTCTCAGTGGAAAGAAACCACACTAATGAAATTAAACTTTTGGAAACTGAGCCTTATTAGGAATTTAATAAATAAATGAAAGGCTACTCGCACAAATGAATGAATGATGAAGGACCAGGAGTGAGATTTATGAAGCTGTGGCTTTGAGCTGAGCTTCTGGGGGTTCTTTAGAGTCTACGGAGGTTGCCAGGCTGCCAGAAACGCTAAATATCTTATTTATTTATAGACATATTCTGGCTGGCTCAGCATTTCTTAAAATGAAGCTGATGGCTTTCTCCCTCCTCTGCTGCAGGCAACAAGCCTGCCAAGGTCCTAAATCATTTTTATCTGGAAATAGGCGGAACTTGGCTGTTTGGGAAGGGACGAGTTTCAAGGTGCTTTAGCTCTGCTAACCCTCCAGCCACGCAGGAGGGATCAAGATGGCACAATGGACGCCTTGCCCCCCCTTCTAAATGTGCAACTTCTCTACAGAGCACAACAAGGCTTACTTCAAAGGAGGGACACTCCCTCTTAAGGCCTTGAGCATCAGGAGAGCCTCCTGGCATCCTTACATGGATCTGAGAAGCGTCTCTGCTCAGTCCGTTTCTATCAGGAGAAGCACCGAGTATCAATAAAGGAGAATATTTGTAGCCCAGGGTTGAACTGAGGGGGTCCCGCGTCCTCTCTGAGCTCGGCTGTTTTCTTGCAGACGTTTCACCACCCAAACTAGGCCGCATCATCGGTGCCGGTGAGGGCCTCACCCAGTTTGGGCAATGAAACACCTGCAAGAAAACAGCCGAGCTCAGAGAGGACCCGGGACCCCCTCAGTGCAACATGTTTATGTCGTAGTACAGATAGTCCTTGACTTACGACGACAATTATGACCAGAATTTCCATTGCTAAGCAAGGCAGTTTTTAAATGAATCGCATCTGTTTTTATGATCTTTTTTGCAACGTTTGTTAATCACTACAGTGAAGTGAATCACGGGGAACTTGAGGAATTTGTGGGGGGAAACTGTGGGGAGATGATTAACTTTCCTGAATTTGAATGACTTTTGCATATAAGAAAAACTTCCTTGGATTCTTTAAAGTTTATCAATGACACATTGCATTTGATTGATCTAGGAGCTCACTAATTACCATGACAATTTTTCCAATTTTCTGAAACAGAAAGTGATGAACAGACATTCTGATAACAATCAATTTGAAATATAATTTGTTGGTGAAATGAACCATATAAAGAAAACGCCACTGGCAGTTGGGTTCAAACGAGGCGAGCTTAATGAGGCCCACTTTGCCTGCACTGCTCATCACTCTCAGCCACAGCTAGATGAAAATGTTATAAATTTAAACCAAAACATCCAGGCGAAGCATTTATAGTGTCTTCAGAACAGTTTCCATCCATTGCTTCTTGTCTTGCCTTCTGGTGCATTGGAGAATAGGTTGACACCCCCCCCCCCTCTTCTCTGTGGCAGCCCCTCAAATACTGGAATACTGGTATCATGTACCTCCTTTTCTGTAGACTGGCCATTCCCAAATCCTGCAATTGTTCTTCATATATTTTTGTCTCCGGATCTTTAAGATGTTGAGACTCTAGAAAGAGTGCAGAGAAGAGCAACAAAGAGGATCAGGGGACTTGGGGCTAAAACATACAAGGAATTGTTGTTGGAACTGGGTATGTCTAGTTTAACGAAGAGAAGGACGAGGGGTGACCTGATAGCAAATGTTCCAGTATCTCAGGGGCTGCCCCAAAGAAGAGGGAGTCAAACTATTTTCCAAAGCACCTGAAGGCAGGACAAGAAGCAAGGGATGGAAACTAATCAAGGAGAGAAGCAACCTAGAACTAAGGAGAAACTTCCTGACAGTGAGAACAATTAATCAGTGGAACTATTTGCCTCCAGAAGTTGTGAGTGCTCCATCAATCTTTAAGGATAAATTGGACAACCATTTGACTGCTTGAGAAGGGCTGGGTTGCAGTTTGGGCACTCGGTCTCTAAAAGGTTCGCCATCACTGTCATATAGGATGAGCTGGACAAGATCTTAGAGCTTTGCCTTTGGGGCTTGGTGGCCTGGCCTGGCGAGGGGGTGGAGGGGAACTGGGCTGCAGGCAGGCTGGCGCACGGACCCGTGTAACTAACCCCTTGCTTCGGGGTGGGGTCAGGGCCACTGAGTGGAGCTGAGCAGTTGCTGTCCGGCTGCCCTCCCTGACGCCTGTGCAGAGTTCACAGCAGACATTTCCTCTTTGCGCCCTGGTAGAGAAAGGTCTGTCTCTGCCTGGGATTGAACTCTCAACCTTCTGAGTGGGAGGCGAGCGTCTTCCCCTCTAGGCCATCGTGCTACTCAGGTGAGAAATGAGCCACTAATAACCAGAGCATCCAAGGTAGTCTTGGGAGAGGGAATCCGGAGTACGCAGTGGCTGTTGGGGGAAACCCTGGCTTCCCGTATACATATGCTCTGAACAGATTTGCTATAACAATTTCATATTGTTACTTCTAATTAGCAATTTAAATAATGAAGGTTGAGACAAATTAATAACATATAAGAAGTAATGAGGTCCCTGCGTTAGTTTCAGCTTCTTAGCTAATAAAACACTTTCTAGATTTGGGAAAGTAATTAGATTCACTAATCTCAAGAGACATAGGACTAAATCTTAATTTCCGAGCCATAAATAGGTTGAAATGATGTCTTGGGGAGCTGGCTTTGTAATTGTGACAACAGCATGAATAAACAGCTCTGCTTCGCTTCGCTCTGTGCCCAAACCATCAAAGGCAGACGAGCACAGATCATCATTATTAGTAGCTATTCCAGGAAAAGCTGTTATCACCTTTCCTAAAATACCAAAACGTAAGTTACGAGCATTATGCCCAAATCTCCTTAATTTAAATTTTATGGTGCTTCTAATACGGAAATATATGTGAAATATATTGCGCTGGTCTGCATCCTTAGATTGCACTTTGCAAAGGTCAACGAAGTGCGACAGCTGATGGCAATAAATAAAGCTCAGTGGGATAGACTGAGCAGAATTACTAAAGCAGCCCTGAGGGATGGACAGTTCTGCAGCTGGGGTCCACCTGGGGTCTACTACAGAGTGGGGAGATTAGTAGGGGAAGCAGTGGTTAGATCCAGGAGAACATTAGAGGCCA